TTCCCCCGGTAAATCTGCATAGTCCCGATGACACGCAGTTCCTTTTACGGAGCTATGATTTAGATACTTTCTCTAACGAGCACGATAAATATTGTACGCCCGCAGAAAACGGAAGTCGGAAGGAATTCCTGTTGAACAAAGGAATATCTCGCCATTGGAAATCGTCGTCGTTTCGTTGTTACTGTTCAGTTAAAATAACATTCGAAAGAATTATTTTCTTTAATGAAATTACGACATAATATACTCGGAGTATGTGTAAAACAGTTTAGAATACTTTACTGCTTTCAACACGGCGGAAGATAGTGAAAATTCAGGATAAATTTGATTGAAATGGTATTCTTATTATTTTCCGAAAAAGAGTACTAAATTATTTATTGATACAACTAATGATTATCTTGATACATCGATTTAATGTCTTAACCGATAACTTATCCCATAATTATCTTATTTTCGTTCAGATTTGTAGAGTATTCCGTGTGCACACGATTTACACGCAAGAAGAGCAAAAGAGGGCAGAGTATAATCTTCCCGGACATTATGGAAATAATTAAGTAAACCCCGAAAGAATGATTAAAGAACTGATGTAGCAATTTGAGGAACAAGTCCGGCGAGGAGCGTCAGACGCTGCAGGACGAGACGAGACGGAATCTGACATCACAGGTAATGATGTCAGATCGAACGGGCGCGGGATTTTTTTCTCGTGTTACACGCAACCCAGCCGAATCTAACATCGAGGAGAATCGAGGTTTCGTCGGGCAAGTATCGAGGTCAAACAGAGAAAGCAGCTACTCGGCTACAGTGATACAAGGATCTTATGTAATTCATAATCGCCCTCTCTTTTATCGAAATAAGAGACACGCGAAAGATTAATCGCGTTTGCGCGCACCGCTCTTAACTATCGAGTAAATGTATCGTTCTTAATTTCTTCTGAATAATTAAGGACACCGACGAGAACAGAAATGCGTTCCCACGAAGCGGATTTCTGGGGATTTCAATGCCTCGCTTGTTTGGGTGCGCTTGTAACGAGATTACGATCGCTCCGAGCGAGTTTCATAATTTTCTTTTAATCAAATTAATTACGTTTAGCTTTTCGGACTTTCTAGACGTTTAGAGTGATATCATTTGACACACATAACTCACGAAACTACAAATAAATCTATTAAACCGCCTATTAATGAAGCCAACTTTGAGGTTATGAAATAATACTGAGCATTTAATACCTTTCGATAAATACGTTTCATTCGATCGTTAAATATTTTTCATGCAACGTAATGATTCTCGCCGAAGGTTCATCTTTCAATTAAATTGCAATTAAATCAAGCATCGAGATGTTTCCTATCGAAGCACCGTTTTCAACCGGATGAAATTTAGCGGACGATCCCGAAATTTAGCAAATACTTATCGTTTCCGCTAATTAGAGTACCGTTTCCATGGAATCCGACGAAAGTTCGGTTGCATTGGCACGGAACGAAGTTGAAATTCACGATGAAAGTGCTACCAGGAAGCGGACTTTCTTATCGCAGATTGAAAGTATCAAAAGGCGACAAGCGGCCAACAGGAAGGGTGATTAACCGCGCGGCACTACAATGAGCAATAAAATTCCGCGCGATAATCAGCAACACGGTTATCAAGACCGTTGCGTGACACGTTTCTGACAGTAACAAACATTCCGAAATGTTCGAATTAATAATCGCCGAACCTGGTTTCCATTGGTTTCACCATTTACGTAAACTTCGCGATCACGGGGGGTCAAGAATATATGAATCTCGGCGGCAGGAAATTCCTTTGCTAATGAGTCGATCGAAATGATCTCACTGTGCAGGAAACCTTGTTAGAATGGTTTCGTTTCAATTAAAATGAAATTCATTGGGTGCTCAGATTCAAAAGTGGAACATCTTTATTTAATTTCAAATTAGATTTGAATAGAACATCGATCGATTTAATCGGTTTCCGTTGTAGAATTAGAATTGACATGATAATTTTAATTATCATTCGTTGTATCTTACACCGCAGCGACACGCAAAGAATTCAGCCGATGGAATCCAGTGATTCCCAATTTTGTACGATTACGGAATAAATTATGACACCGCGCAGCCGATGAATCTTGAAACGTTTCCATTAAAGTGACATTCAAGTTTCCCGGTGAATCGCTTAAGAACCGTTACCGGCGATCACAGGCGGGTATATTTTTAGAAATTATTCGAATGTCTCGGATACGTCTAGGAGACGTGTATAGACTTCTCCCTAAATATTCAGTTATATCGTTGCAGCGTCTAATGATTCATTAAATACTCGGTCGCTAATAACCTGCTAGCGTGTCCCGATCGTTCTGCGTGACATGAATGAACGTTAATAACGGGACAACATCTCTTTCTCCGGCGACGCCGGGAGGTCACACGATTCACTGTCCTTGAATACTTTCGCCTAATCGGGCATCTAGATCGAACGCGTCTAGCAGCGAGAACGTTTCATTAAAAACTGGATGAAACCTCGGGATTTAATGAACGAACGTTTCGTAACCGGCTGCTTAAATAATACTTTGTGCGTTTCGCTTGGGAACGGTGATAAAAAAAAATTATTGTTAACTTTCGAAAGCACGCAGCTCGCCCGTTTTGAGAACAAGAAACGCGGCTGCTTAATTGCGAATCGAATTTGAAAGTTCGTTTCGACACGCGCGCCGGAAATCTCGGGATTCCCTTTGCGTTTCGATTGCGATTTCAAACGGGGAAACCTTTCTATAAGCTATTTTTGGCAACTCGAACGCGTAACTCGAATAAAGTTAGAAACACTTTTGAACAGAACATGCCTAGTCATTCATCTGTTATCTGATTCACTGAACCGAGCTTCTCAAGGTCTGAAAATTTCAAATATTGCGAAACTCACCAAGGAATCCTTTCTTATTAATCACTGGTTCTTGAAAGACTCTCAAATGACCGTCAGTAGGTAACGAGTTAACGACTGCAGCGTCCGGAACGGCGTACAGACGCAGAATATCACAATATTAAAAAATATCTTTAACTTTCGTTCACGGTCGTCGTATACGTTCAATGAAGAATCTGAGAACATTTCTAACGGTCGTCGCCGAGTATCGTACAAAGAACAATTTCAATGAAATTTCAATGAAATTTCGAAGAGCCATCAAAGTATAAATTCTGTACTAAAGCGAAATCTTTCGCCGCATCTTCGATTAAGAGGAACTTCAGATATTCGCGATCCTCCGCGCATTATAAATAAGTATGACTGCACTGCGTCGCTATGAGTCAGAATCGCTTGTAAACAATGCAACGCAGCTATTCCCCGCGATTTCCATTAACGAGGAGCGTTTCTTCTTCATCCATTTCTATCGCCATTATCATCTGCACGCTGCCTGCACCTGAATTCCGCAGAATCCGCGTATCGCTCCTGCCCCCCGGGCACCGCGATTCATCAACGTTCGACCCGACTGTTCGCTAACAACTGCGATTCGCCTGCCACCCCCACTCCACGCTCGTTTTACGACAGAGCCCGCTCATAAATAAATAATCAACCTGCCTGTGTCGCGCGTGTGCTAGATCATGAGAGAATTCCAACGTCTCCGAACTGGTCTGCCTCGATCGGCAAC